GACTCAACACTGCACCATCAACTCAACACTGCACCATAGACTCAACACTGCACCATAGACTCAACACTGCACCATAGACTCAACACCGCATCATAGACTCAACACCGCACCATAGACTCAACACTGCCCATAGACTCAACACTGCACTATAGACTCAACACTGCACCATAAACTCAACACTGCACCATCAACTCAACACTGCATCATAGACTCAACACTGCACCATAGACTCAACACTGCACCATACATTCAACACTGCCCATAGACTCAACACTGCCCATAGACTCAACACTGTCCATAGACTCAACACTGTCCATAGACTGAACACTGCACCATAGACTCAACGCTGCACCACAGACTCAACACTGCACCATCAACTCAACACTGCACCATAGACTCAACACTGCACCATAGACTCAACACTGCACCATAGACTCAACACTGCCCATAGGCTCAACACTGCCCATAGACTCAACACTGTCCATAGACTCAACACTGTCCATAGACTCAACACTGCACCATAGACTCAACACTGTACCATAGACGCAACACTGCACCATAGACTCAACACTGCCCATAGACTCAACACTGCACCATAGACTCAACATTGCCCATAGACTCAACACTGCACCATAGACTCAACACTGCACCATAGCCTCAACACTGCCCATAGACTCAACACTGCACCATCAACTCAACACTGCACCATAGACTCAACACTGCACCATAGACTCAACACTGCACCACAGTCTCAACACTGCCCATAGACTCAACACTGCCCATAGACTCAACACTGTCCATAGTCTCAACACTGTCCATAGACTGAACACTGCACCATAAACTCAACGCTGCACCACAGACTCAACGCTGCACCACAGCCTCAACGCCGCACCATAGACTCAACACAGCACCATAGACTCAACACCGTCCATAGACTAAACACTGCACCATAGACCCTTCGCTGCACCACAGGCTCAACGCTGCACCATAGACGCAACATTGCCCATAGACTCAACACTGTCCATAGACTCAACACTGCGCCATAGACTCAACACTGCCCATAGACTCAACACTGCACCATAGACTCAACACTGCACCATAGACTCAACACTGCACCATAGACTCAACACTGCACCATAGACTCAACACTGCCCATAGACTCAACACTGCCCATAGACTCAACGCTGCCCATTGACTCAACATTGCACCATAAACTCAACACTTCACCATCAACTCAACACTGCACCATAGACTCAACACTGCACCATAGACTCAACACTGCACCATAGACTCAACACTGCCCATAGACTCAACACTGCCCATAGACTCAACACTGTCCAAAGACACTGTCCATAGACTCAACACTGCACCATAGACTCAACACTGCACCATAGACGCAACACTGCACCATAGACTCAACACTGCCCATAGACTCAACACTGCACCATAGCCTCAACACCGCACCATAGACTCAACACTGCCCATAGACTCAACACTGTCCATAGACTCAACACTGTCCATAGACTCAACACTGCACCATAGACTCAACACTGCACCATCGACGCAACACTGCACCATAGACTCAACACTGCCCATAGACTCAACACTGCCCATAGACTCAACACTGCACCATAGACTCAACACTGCACCAAAGACTCAACACTGCACCATCAACTCAACACTGCACCATAGACTCAACACTGCACCATAGACTCAACACTGCACCATAGACTCAACACCGCACCATAGACTCAACACTGCACCATAGACGCAACACTGCCCATAGACTCAACACTGCACCATAGACTCAACACTGCACCATAGACTCAACACTGCACCATAGACTCAACACTGCACCATAGACTCAACACTGCCCATAGACTCAACACTGCCCATAGACTCAACGCTGCCCATTGACTCAACATTGCACCATAAACTCAACACTTCACCATCAACTCAACACTGCACCATAGACTCAACACTGCACCATAGACGCAACACTGCACCATAGACTCAACACTGCCCATAGACTCAACACTGCACCATAGCCTCAACACTGCACCATAGACTCAACACTGCACCATAGACTCAACACTGCACCATAGACTCAACACTGCCCATAGACTCAACACTGCCCATAGACTCAACACTGTCCATAGACTCAACACTGCACCATAGACTCAACATTGCCCATAGACTCAACACTGCACCAAAGACTCAACATTGCACCATCAACTCAACACTGCCCATAGACTCAACACTGTCCATAGACTCAACACTGCACCATAGACTCAACACTGCACCAAAGACTCAACACTGCACCATCAACTCAACACTGCACCATAGACTCAACACTGCACCATCAACTCAACACTGCACCATAGACTCAACACTGCACCATAGACTCAATACTGCCCATAGACTCAACACTGCCCATAGACTCAGCACTGTCCATAGACTCAACACTGTCCATAGACTCAACACTGCACCATAGACTCAACACTGCACCATCGACGCAACACTGCACCATACACTCAACACTGCCCATAGACTCAACACTGCACCATAGACTCAACACTGCACCATAGACTCAACACTGCACCATACACTCAACACTGCACCATAGCCTCAACACTGCCCATAGACTCAACACTGCACGATAGACTCAACACTGCACCATAGACTCAACACCGCACCATAGACTCAACACTGCCCATAGACTCAACACTGTCCATAGACTCAACACTGTCCATAGACTCAACACTGCACCATAGACTCAACACTGCACCATCGACGCAACACTGCACCATAGACTCAACACTGCCCATAGACTCAACACTGCCCATAGACTCAACACTGCACCATAGACTCAACACTGCACCAAAGACTCAACACTGCACCATCAACTCAACACTGCACCATAGACTCAACACTGCACCATAGACTCAACACTGCACCATAGACTCAACACCGCATCATAGACTCAACACCGCACCATAGACTCAACACTGCCCATAGACTCAACACTGCACTATAGACTCAACACTGCACCATAAACTCAACACTGCACCATCAACTCAACACTGCATCATAGACTCAACACTGCACCATAGACTCAACACTGCACCATACATTCAACACTGCCCATAGACTCAACACTGCCCATAGACTCAACACTGTCCATAGACTCAACACTGTCCATAGACTGAACACTGCACCATAGACTCAACGCTGCACCACAGACTCAACACTGCACCATCAACTCAACACTGCACCATAGACTCAACACTGCACCATAGACTCAACACTGCACCATAGACTCAACACTGCCCATAGGCTCAACACTGCCCATAGACTCAACACTGTCCATAGACTCAACACTGTCCATAGACTCAACACTGCACCATAGACTCAACACTGTACCATAGACGCAACACTGCACCATAGACTCAACACTGCCCATAGACTCAACACTGCACCATAGACTCAACATTGCCCATAGACTCAACACTGCACCATAGACTCAACACTGCACCATAGCCTCAACACTGCCCATAGACTCAACACTGCACCATCAACTCAACACTGCACCATAGACTCAACACTGCACCATAGACTCAACACTGCACCACAGTCTCAACACTGCCCATAGACTCAACACTGCCCATAGACTCAACACTGTCCATAGTCTCAACACTGTCCATAGACTGAACACTGCACCATAAACTCAACGCTGCACCACAGACTCAACGCTGCACCACAGCCTCAACGCCGCACCATAGACTCAACACAGCACCATAGACTCAACACCGTCCATAGACTAAACACTGCACCATAGACCCTTCGCTGCACCACAGGCTCAACGCTGCACCATAGACGCAACATTGCCCATAGACTCAACACTGTCCATAGACTCAACACTGCACCATAGACTCAACACTGCCCATAGACTCAACACTGCCCGTAGACTCAACACTGCCCATAGACTCAACACTGCCCATAGATTCAACACTGTCCATAGACTCAACACTGCACCATAGACTCAACACTTTCCATAGACTCAACACTGCACCATAGACTCAACACTGCACCATAGACTCAACACTGCACCATAGACTCAACACTGCCCCATAGACTCAACACTGCCCATAGACTCAACACTGCACCATGGAATCAACACTGCACCATAGACTCAACACTGCCCATAGACTCAACACTGCACCATAGACTCAACACTGCCCATAGACTCAACACTGCACCATAGACTCAACACTGCACCATGGAATCAACACTGCACCATAGACTCAACACTGTCCATAGACTCAACACTGCACCATAGACTCAACACTGCCCATAAACTCAACACTACACCATAGACTCAACACTGCACCATAGACTCAACACTGCTCATAGACTCAACACTGCTGTAGACTCAACACTGCACCATAGACTCAACACCGCACCATAGACTCAACACCGCACCATAGACTCAACACCGTCCATAGACTCAACACTGCACCATAGACTCAACACTGCACCATAGACTCAACACTGCACCATGGAATCAACACTGCACCATAGACTCAACACTGCCCATAAACTCAACATCACACCATAGACTCAACACCGTCCATAGACTCAACGCTGCACCATAGACTCAATGCTGCACCATAGACTCAATGCTGCACCATAGACTCAACACCGCACCATAGACTCAACACCGTCCATAGACTCAACACTGCACCATAGACTCAACGCTGCACCACAGACTCAACACTGCTCATAGACTCAACACTGCACCATAGACTCAGCACTGCACCATAGACTCAACACTGCACCATAGACTCAACACTGCACCATAGACTCAACACTGCACCATAGACTCAGTACTGCACCATAGACTCAACACTGCACCATAGACTCAACACTGCTCATAGACTCAACACTGGACCATAGACTCAGCACTGCAGAACAGACTCAACACTGCACCATAGACTCACCACAGGGCTTTATCAGAAAGATAATTCGTGTAATTATGCTGTTGTTGCTCCTCCGTTGATGCAGCGTGGAGACCAAAGTCGTTTTACTTTATGGCCAATGTTCGTGCAGATACTGGCGCCGACTTGAGAGACACAGGGACTGTGCGAGCTCGCCTCCTCTCTCCTCCTCCTCCCTCTCTCCTCCCCCTCCTCCTCCCCCCTCCTCCTCCTCCCCCCTCCTCCTCCTCCCCCCTCCTCCTCCCCCTCTTCGCCCCCTCCTTTCTCCTCCAACCTCCCATCTCCTCCTCCTCCCCCCTCTCTCCACCTCCTCTCTCTACCTTCTCCTCCCTCTCTCCTCCTCCCCCTCTCCTCCCCCTCTCCTCCCTCTCTCCTCCTCCTCCTCCCTCTCTCCTCCTCCTCCCCCTACTTCCTCCTCCAACCTCCCACCTCCTTTCCATCTCCTCCTCCCTCTCTCCACCTCCTCTCTCTACCTTCTCCTCCCTCTCTCCACCTCCTCCTCCCTCTCTCCACCTCCTCTCTCTACCTTCTCCTCCCTCCCTCCACCTCCTCTTCCCTCTCTCCAACTCCTCTCTCTTCCTCCTCCTCCCTCTCTACCTCCTCCTCCCTCTCTCCTCCTCCTCTCTCCACGTCTTCCTCCTCCCACCTCCTCATTCCCCCTTTCCATGACCACCTGACAAAAGGTCGCCGCTTGGACCGCAACGAGGGCTCAACCAGGTCCAGCGAATGAGCAAGCCAGGGGCGGAGCCAAGATTTTCAGCCCCGGGGTGACATTCAACAAATGTTAATTTCAAGAATTATTGAATGAGAAATCGGCTGTACCCCACGCCATCGGTTGGCGACACACTCTGACAGTGCAGTTGCACTGAGTCCGCCAGACCGAGTGTCGTACACATACGCAGAATGTTTCAGATTTTCTCGGGGGTGACAATTGTCTTTCCTGTTACCCCCCTGGCTCCGCCCCTGGAGCAAGCTCAAAGCTGGGGAGCGTCGGCACCCAGTGCCACGGACGTCGACGATGGCCCTTTGCGTAACTCTGTAGCCCGAGTATGGAATGGGGACCAATGGCAGAGCCAAGATTTTCAGGGGGGGGCAACCCCTCCAGCAATGAAAAATGATAGAGGAGTTGTTAGCGACTAAGGACTTGTCCCTTGGTTATCGATTCGACGCGTGTGCGTTCGATGGCGCAGCCGTCGATCGAGCGTCAAATTCGCACCGCGTTGTGTGATCGGCATCGCGCTCGCTGAAGATGAATGCCTTCAGGGAAGTCGTGTACCGTATACGAGACTTCGCACAATTCTGTGAGTCACTTATAACTCCTTTGCCGTTACTTATTCCTATCATCTCCTAGAATCCCTGGCACGTAATCATATGCTACACGGTGGCAGTGGGGGTCGCAAAATGCCGATTTATCTATATTTTATATATATAAGTCAAAAGTTGTGTGTGGGTTTGTGGCGGGGTTTGTGTGTGTGGGTTTGTGGCGGGGTTTGTGTGTGGGTTTGTGTGTGGTCGCGCGCTTAGCTCTCCAACGGTGGAGTTTACGTTAAAAAAATAATTGCCAGTTACCACGCCGTAAGCCCAGCAGTGAGCAAGCGCTATTCCTTTTTCACACCCGTCAACTTTAAATTAGTTTAGGTAGCGATTTTGTGCGATTTCTGTGCGCTTTCTTATTTATTTATGACGCGTGTACGGCCATACCAACTCACGCGCCTTTGGTGGGAGGGACGGCCCATGCCAAGTCGCACGCCTTCGGTGGGAGTGAGGGGGACATTTTCTTTCGCGTTAAAAATCCTATAAAAATACACTAAACGCTCAGGTAATTATTCACTGTCCCATGTCCCCCCACCCCGATGCTTGCAGTTATTACTACTATATAGTCGCTAGCTGCTACCACTATAGGCCACAGATATTACTGCAGAGCGGCCAGGGACATCGTGCCTGGGGGGGGGGGGGGGGAGGGGGGGGGGGTCAGGGGTAGCAGCCCAGCCTGCCAAGGTGCCACCTCGACCGGCTGGACTATCTAGGCAAGGCCGGAGGCTCTGCACGGGACTAGGCCTCACCACGCCACTCTGTCAGGTGAGTACTTTGTGTGCTATAGAGTCGATAAATACTGCTATAGAGTCAGCATGTACTACTGTGGTGATAGCAGGTACCACCACAGTCGGTATGCCCTGCTGTAATCATAGTAGGTACCACCGCAGTTAGTATACACTACTGTAATAATAGCATGTACCACCACAGTCAGTATGCACTGCTGTAATCATAGCATGTACCACCACAGTCAGTATGCACTGCTGTAATCATAGCAGGTACCACCGCAGTCAGTATGCACTGCTGTAATCAGCAGGTACCACCGCAGTCAGTATGCACTGCTGTAATCATAGCATGTACCACCGCAGTCAGTATGCACTGCTGTAATCATAGCAGGTACCACCACAGTCAGTATGCACTGCTGTAATCATAGCAGGTACCACCGCAGTCAGTATGCACTGCTGTAATCATAGAAGGTGCCACCACAGTCAGTACGCACTGCTGTTAGATTTTTAAGAGTAGTTTTGAAATATTTTTAAGACCTGGGCAACGCCGAGTACTTCCCGCTAGTTACCAATAAACCCCAATGATCCGATTGAAATTAGGGATTTCGATCAGATAATTGGGGGGGGGGCACGTACCACCCCCCCCCCCACCCACTGGCTCCGCCAGTTGTATGGAGCAGTCGGTAAGTCACCACCCGTGTCCAGTCGATGTAAACCAACTGAACGCTGCGATGCGGCGGATGGATCGCCGGGGAAACCTCGAGTCGACGACCCCCAACACCGCGGGCCGCCCGTAACGTTGCCACACCTCTCCCCCTCGGCCCATCCGTCGCAACCCCTGCGGAGAAGTCCCCTCCCTGCGAGTCGATGAAGACGGTCGCCCCTCGCCACATTCGCCGTGGACCTCAATGACATCCCCCGCGATCACTTTGAAGTCACGGCGCGAGCCCCCCTTTTGGACCCCACGCGATTATAACCCTTCAATGATGTCGCGTTCAATCCAACCAACCCCGCCCCCCCCCCCCCCGACGAAGATTGGGAGAGGTGAATGAAGTTGAAAGGAACTCGCAAGCGAACACCGCCCCCGTTGTGAAAGGCATCAACGCAGAAGATCCCCCTGAGGTTTGTTTGATCTTCCGCGAAGCTGCTCGTGGGCAGCAGCAGATGATGCACAAATGGGAAATGAAAGGCTCTCTCCGGTGTTCCTGGTTCTTTCGGTAAAGTCACGTAGATAGAAAGTAAAAATTATAAAATTGAATTAAACAAAAAATATACTGAAAATAATAAAAGCAAAAAAACACGATAAAAAAATTTTAATAGGAAAATAAAATTGAAAATAAAATTAAATTGAAAGTAATAAAAGTAAAAAAATGCCACGACGTTTCGATCGCAACACAAGCGGTCTTCATAATTTTGCTATTTTTATTTTTTATCGTGGTTTTTTTTGCTTTTATTTTTTTAAATGTATTTATATTTAAATTTTTTATTAAATTTCAATTTTTTTTTATTTTCTATCTACGTGACTTACCGAAAGAACCGAGAATACGAATCCCTGCAGTCACGAAAGTTTTAAGTCGAAAAAAAAGAAAAACCTCTCTCCGTTAAGACCCCCAGGGCCGGTAACGCAACGTGGATCCTCATCACTTTACCACACCATCACTTTACCATACATAGCAGGGGTTGCCAAAAAATATTTCCGACCACCATCCAGCCCAAAATAATTCACAAGGGAGCAGACAATCGTGCTGCTCGCAGCAGATAACGCAGTTATCGCGATTGTCACCTGAAGACAAACGCTTGGGTGTTGCGTTCGAAACGTCGTGATTTTGTTACTTTACCGAAAGAACCAAAGAGTATGGATTATTGTAGTCACGGAAGCTTCAAATCAAGATGGCCCATAGACTAACAACATTGCCCATAGACTAACAACATTGCCCATAGACTAACAACATTGCCCATAGACTAACAACATTGCCCATAGACTAACAACATTGCCCATAGACTAACAACATTGCCCATAGGCTAACAACATTGCCCGTAGACTGACAACATTGCCCGTAGACTAACAACATTGCCCATAGACTAACAACATTGCCCATAGAGTAACAACATTGCCCATAGACTAACAACATTGCCCATAGACTAACAACATTGCCCATAGACTAACAACATTGCCCATAGACTAACAACATTGCCCATAGACTAACAACATTGCCCATAGACTAACAACATTGCCCATAGACTAACAACATTGCCCATAGACTAACAACATTGCCCATAGACTAACAACATTGCCCATAGACTAACAACATTGCCCATAGACTAACAACATTGCCCATAGACTAGCAACATTGCCCATAGACTAACAACATTGCCCATAGACTAACAACATTGCCCATAGACTAACAACATTGCCCATAGACTAACAACATTGCCCATAGTCGTCTAACATTGACCATACACTAACATTGACCATACACTAACATTGACCATAGACTAACATTGACAATACACTAACATTGACAATACACTAACATTGACAATACACTAACATTGACCATACACTAACATTGACAATACACTAACACTAACCGTACACTAACATTGACTATACACTAACATTGACCATACACTAACATTGACAATACACTAACATTGACCATACACTAACATTGTCCATACACTAACATTGTCCATACACTAACATTGACAATACACTAACATTCACCATACACTAACATTGACTATACACTAACATTGACGATACACTAACATTGACAATACACTAACATTGACAATACACTAACATTGACGATACACTAATATTGACCATACACTAACATTGACAATACACTAATATTGACAATACACTAACATTTACCATACACTAACATTGACCATACACTAGCATTGACAATACACTAACATTCACCATACACTAACATTGACTATACACTAACATTGACGATACACTAACATTGACAATACACTAACATTGACAATACACTAACATTGACGATACACTAATATTGACCATACACTAACATTGACAATACACTAATATTGACAATACACTAACATTTACCATACACTAACATTGACCATACACTAGCATTGACAATACACTAACATTGACAATACACTAACATTGACAACACACTAACATTGACGATACACTAACATTGACAACACACTAACATTGACAATACACTAACATTGACAACACACTAACATTGACGATACACTAACATTGACAATACACTAACATTCACAATACACTATCATTGACAATACACTAACATTGACGATGCACTAACATTGACAATACACTAACATTGACCATAGACCAACATTGACAATACACTATCATTGACAATACACTAACATTGACGATACACTAACATTGACAATACACTAACATTGACAATACACTAACATTGACAATACACTATCATTGACCATAGACCAACATTGACAATACACTAACATTGACCATACACTAACATTGACGATACACTAACATTGACAATACACTAACATTGACCATAGACCAACATTGACAATACACTAACATTGACCATACACTAACATTGACCATAGACCAACATTGACAATACACTAACATTGACCATAGACTAACATTGACAATACACTAACATTGACCATACACTACCACTAACACTATTAGACATTATTGTAAAACATAAATTAAAATTCCATCCCACGTGCTAGTGAGTTTTTTATATTTTAGGCAGGAAATTCGTTTTCAAATTTATAAAAAAATTTCCGGGGTGGGATGGGGGGGATCCCCCCAGACCCCCTGTAAGATTCCCACCCCCCCCCCCCCCAATGTTGAATCCATGGCTAACGCAGTTGTCTTGACCACTTGGAATGACTCCCTCGCTCCAGCCGTACGAGAAGAAGCTGAAGAAGCTGAAGTAGCTGAAGAAGAAGCTGAAGAAGCTGTAGCTGAAGAAGGAGAAGAAGAAGCTGTAGCTGAAGAAGAAGAAGCTGAAGTAGCTGAAGAAGAAGAGGCTGAAGAAGCTGAAGTAGCTGAAGAAGAAGAAGCTGTAGCTGAAGAAGAAGAAGAAGAAGCTGTAGCTGAAGGAGAAGAAGAAGCTGAAGAAGCTGAAGAAGCTGAAGTAGCTGAAGAAGAAGAAGCTGAAGAGGCTGTAGCTGAAGAAGAAGCTGAAGAAGCTGTAGCTGAAGAAGAAGAAGCTGAAGTAGCTGAAGAAGAAGAAGCTGAAGAAGCTGAAGAAGAAGAGGCTGAAGAAGCTGAAGTAGCTGAAGAAGAAGAAGCTGTAGCTGAAGAAGAAGAAGCTGTAGCTGAAGGAGAAGAAGAAGCTGAAGAAGCTGAAGAAGCTGTAGCTGAAGAAGAAGAAGCTGAAGAAGCTGTAGCTGAAGAAGAAGAAGCTGAAGTAGCTGAAGAAGAAGAAGCTGAAGAAGCTGTAGCTGAAGAAGAAGAAGCTGAAGAAGGAGAAGCTGTAGCTGAAGAAGAAGCTAAAGAAGAAGCTAAAGAAGAAGCTGAAGAAGAAGCTGAAGAAGCTGTAGCTGAAGAAGCTGAAGTAGCTGAAGAAGAAGAACCTGAAGAAGAAGCTGAAGAAGAAGAAGCTGAAGAAGAAGAAGAAGCTGAAGAAGAAGAAGCTGAAGAAGGAGAAGCTGAAGAAGAAGCTGTAGCTGAAGAAGAAGAAGCTGAAGTAGCTGAAGAAGAAGCTGAAGAAGAAGCTGAAGAAGAAGCTGTAGCTGAAGAAGAAGCTGTAGCTGAAGAAGAAGCTGAAGAAGCTGTAGCTGAAGAAGAAGAAGCTGAAGAAGAAGCTGAAGAAGAAGAAGCTGTAGCTGAAGAAGAAGCTGTAGCTGAAGAAGAAGCTGAAGAAGAAAAAGCTGAAGCTGAAGAAGCTGAAGAAGGAGAAGAAGAAGAAGAAGCTGAAGCTGAAGAAGAAGGAGAAAGAGAAGCTGAAGAAGCTGTAGCTGAAGAAGAAGAAGCTGAAGAAGGAGAAGCTGTAGCTGAAGAAGAAGAAGCTGAAGAAGAAGCTGAAGAAGAAGCTGAAGCTGAAGAAGCTGTAGCTGAAGAAGAAGCTGAAGAAGAAGAAGAAGCTGTAGCTGAAGAAGAAGAAGCTGTAGCTGAAGAAGAAGCTTAAGAAGAAGCTGAAGAAGCTGTAGCTGAAGAAGAAGCTGAAGTAGAAGAAGATGAAGTAACTGAAGAAGAAGCTGAAGAAGCTGTAGTTGAAGAAGAAGAAGCTGAAGAAGGAGAAGCTGCAGCTGAAGAAGAAGAAGCTGAAGAAGAAGCTTAAGCTGAAGAAGCTGAAGTAGCTGAAGAAGCTGAAGTAGCTGAAGAAGAAGAAGCTGAAGAAGAAGCTGAAGAAGCTGTAGCTGAAGCAGAAGAAGCTGAAGAAGAAGAAGCTGAAGGAGAAGAAGAAGCTGAAGAAGGAGAAGAAGAAGCTGAAGAAGAAGAAGCTGTAGCTGAAGAAGAAGCTGTAGCTGAAGAAGAAGCTGAAGTAGCTGAAGTAGCTGAAGAAGAAGAAGCTGAAGAAGAAGCTGAAGAAGAAACAGCTGAAGCTGAAGAAGCTGAAGAAGAAGAAGAAGCTGTAGCTGAAGAAGAAGCTGAAGAAGCTGAAGTAGCTGAAGAAGAAGAAGCTGAAGAAGCTGAAGAAGCTGTAGCTGAAGAAGAAGCTGAAGAAGAAGCTGTAGCTGAAAAAGCTGAAGCTGAAGAAGGAGAAGAAGAAGCTGAAGCTGAAGAAGAAGGAGAAGCTGAAGAAGCTGTAGCTGAAGAAGCTGTAGCTGAAGAAGAAGAAGCTGAAGAAGAAAAAGCTGAAGCTGAAGAAGGAGAAGAAGAAGCTGAAGCTGAAGAAGAAGGAGAAGCTGAAGAAGCTGTAGCTGAAGAAGAAGAAGCTGAAGCTGAAGAAGCTGAAGCTGAGAAGCTGAAGCTGAAGAAGAAGAAGAAGCTGAAGAAGGAGAAGAAGGAGAATCTGAGATAGGAGGAGGGCTCGCAGACTCACCTCTTCACTGCTGCTTTCCTCTGTCGCCGTGCAGGCTGATGGTGGTGATGATGGTGGTGATGGTAGTGATGATGGTGATGGTGGTGATGATCGTGGTGGTGATGGTGGTGATGGTAGTGGTGATGGTGGTGATGGTGGTGATGGTGATGATGTTGATGATGGTGGTGATGGTGATGATGGTGGTGATGATGGTAATGATTGTGGTGATGATGGTGGTGATGATGGAGCGTGTGGAGTAACTGCCGCTGGTGATGATGGTGGTTGTGGTGGAGCGTGTGGAGTGGCTGGTGGTGGTTGTGGTGGTGGTGGTGATGGAGCGTGTGGAGTGACTGGTGGTGGTTGTGGTGGTTGTGGTGGTGGTTGTGGTGGTGGTGATGGAGCGTGTGGAGTGACTGGTGGTGGTGGTTGTGGTTGTGGTGGTGGTGATGGATCGTGTGGAGTGACTGGTGGTGGTTGTGGCGGTGGTGATGGATCGTGTAGAGTGGCTGGTGGTGGTGGTGGTTGTGGTGGTGATGGAGCGTGTGGAGTGACTGGTGGTGGTGGTTGTGGTGGTGGTGGTGATGGATCGTGTGGAGTGACTGGTGGTGGTTGTGGTGGTGGTGATGGATCGTGTGGAGTGGCTGGTGGTGGTGGTGGTTGTGGTGGTGGTGGTGATGGAGCGTGTGGAGTGACTGGTGGTGGTGGTTGTGGTTGTGGTGGTTGTGGTTGTGGTGGTTGTGGTCAGCGCCTTGCGGTTGGAACCGTGAAGTTGGCTCGACCCCACGAAATAATGAACGCGTTGTAGAATTATTTAACTAATTTTCTACGGGATTAAAACTCATTATAATTTGTTTTTTTTTCTATAGAAACTAAAACGCAATTTCTTTAGAAAAAACGAATTATAAAAAAACTAATGATAATTTTTTTCTAAAAAATCTCATTATAATTTATTTTTTGAAAACAAATTTATTATAATTACTACATATATACGCAGTGTATATACTGCATCTTTACATAGTGTACATATATACTGCATATATACACAGTATGTATATACTGCATATATACACACTATATATACAGTGAGGGAAATAAGTATTTGATCCCCTGCTGATTTTGTACGTTTGCCCACTGACAAATAAATGATCAGTCTATATCCAGAGATGTGTGTAAACCAAACCTGGTGGCCAACTACAAGAAACGTCTGACCTCTGTGATTGCCAACAAGGGTTTTGCCACCATGTACTAAGTCATGTTTTGCAGAGGGGTCAAATACTTATTTCTCTAATTAAAATGCAAATTAATTTATAACATTTTTGTCATGCGTTTTTCTGGATTTTTTTGTTGTTATTCTGTCTCTCACTGTTCAAATAAACCTACCATTAAAATTATAGACTGATCATTTCTTTGTCAGTGGGCAAACGTACCAAATCAGCAGGGGATCAAATACTTTTTTCCTTCACTGTATACCCTAACCGCAACCTTCATGGAGCTGACGCAGCGGCGAAGCTATCGGGGGCGGCGATCTCCATCGCCTCGGCCCGGCTGCCTCATCGCGTGGGCGAATGCTGCCTGGCCTTTGATTGGTGGAGCCTCGTGGCGACGTCACAGGGTGGGCTAGGAGATTTTGACGACCTCGCTTGGTGTACAGGAGGTCATGGGTTCCACCACCACCACCATCATCATCACGGTGGCTAGGAGATGTTGACTACCTCGCCTGGTGTACAGGAGGTCGTGGGTTCCACCACCATCATCACGGTGACTTGGAGATGTTGGCTACCTCGCTTGGTGTACAGGAGGTCGTGGGTTCCACCACTATCATCATCACGGTGGCTAGGAGATGTTGACTACCTCGCCTGGTGTACAAGAGTTCGTGGCTTCCACTACCATCATCACGTTGGCTAGGAGATGTTGACTACCTCGCCTGGTGTGCAGGAGGTCGTGGGCTCCATCCCGACCACTGACGCCTTTTGCTGCTGCTGTATATTTGGAGTCTGCGTGTCTCTCTCTACCCCGTGGTCACGTGTCTTTATCTACCCGTGGTCACGTGTCTCTCTCTACCCCCTCCTCCCCTCCACATTTATAATCGACATCATGACGCGTTCAGAGTCCTTTGTTTTCGGTGCCGCTGCTGTCAATTTCTAACACGACGAGCCCGCTGGGCTTGAGCTCTGCCTCTACCACCACCTCTACCACCTCCACAACCACCACCACCACCTCCACCACCACCACCACCTCTACCACCTCCACAACCACCACCACCACCACCTCTACCACCACCTCTACCACCTCCACAACCACCACCACCTCCACCACCACCTCCACCACCTCCACAACCACCACCACCACCTCCACCACCACCACCTCTACCACCACCTCTACCACCTCCACAACCACCACCACCTCTACCACCACCTCTACCACCTCCACAACCACCACCACCTCTACCACCACCTCTACCACCTCCACAACCACCACCTCCACCACCACCACCACCACCTCTAACACCACCTCTACCACCTCCACAACCACCACCACCACCACCACCTCTACCACCATCTCCACCACCTCCACCTCTACCACCACCACCTCTACCACCACCACCTCTACCACCTCCATCACCACCACCACCACCTCTACCACCACCTCTACCACCACCACCACCATCTCGCCGTTTGTGGCGGGCTCACGGTCCGCTTCCTGGAACTGAAATCTGCACACGCCGCACAATGCTCTCTGGGATCTTTTTTTCATCGTCGTGGTCGTGGTCGCTGTAAATTTCACTGCGTCTCTCTCACGCGCACGCACAGGGGTGGTGCTTCTTTCGGCAAAGTCACGCAGGTAGAAAAACTAAAGTAAAACAAGATAGTAAACATCACAACGTTTCCATCGCAACACAAATAACCCAACAGTGGAACTGCTGAACCAGCGACTGCTGCGATAGAAACGTCGTGATATTATATTTAGCTTCATTTTAGTTTTTCCACCTACGTGACTTTGCCGAAAGAACCAAAGAGTATGGATGTTCATAGCTTCACAAAATATATAGTAGTGTATAGTGTAGTGTATAGTGTAGTGTGTAGTGTCGTGTATAGTGTAGTGTAATATATAGTAGTGTATAGTGTAGTGTATAGTGTAGTGTATAGTGTAGTATAGTGTAGTGTATAGTAGTGTATAGTGTAGTGTATAGTGTAGTGTATAGGGTAGTGTATAGTAGTGTATAGTGTAGTGTGTAGTGTCGTGTATAGTGTAGTGTAATATATAGTAGTGTATAGTGTAGTGTATAGTGTAGTGTATAGTGTAGTGTATAGTGTAATGTATAGTGTAGTATAGTGTAGTGTATAGTGTAGTGTTTCGTGTAGTGTATAATGTAGAGTGATGTGTGTAGTGTAGTGTATAGTGTAGTGTATAGTAGTGTATAGTGTAGTGTATAGTGTAGTGTACAGTGTAGTGTATAGTGAAGTGTCGAACGCCCGCTGGCAGGAGGCCACGGGGCAGACCCAGCAATTGCCACGGGTCGACTGACTGAGATGACTGGCCGATGCACCACCTGTGCCCCGTACTGTGCCAACTTGCTGTGCTTTAGCCACCCGGCGCTCCGCTCGTTGTTGTGAGCGTCGATCCTCCGCCCTCCTTTGTTGTTGGAGGGCGACTGCCTCCAACTGCCCAGTAGCGTCCTGGCCTGCCTACGATCCAGGCTGGATTGTGTG